CAGTGCCGCCGCCTCCGATGGCGCCTCGGCGATGCCTGCATCGGCGGTGGTGCCAGTGACGTCGGCCGCCCTGGCGGCGGCAGCCACGTATGCTGACTTCGCCACGGAGCAGCGGCGCTCCACAACCTTTCGCTGAGGGAGCATGCTGTGGGTGGCCGTGGCGGCCGCGGGGCGCGCAGCACTGCTGACGGCGAGCGCGTCGTGGACGACGGGGCCGCCAGCGAAGCCCCGAGTGCGGCGACCACGGGTGCCCTTAGCGGCCATGGGGGCAAACGCCACCGCCGACGCAGCAACAAAGCTGTCTGCGGCCAGGCCCCCCAGTCGAGCGACGGCGCACCAGCCGCGCTCGAAGACGTAGAGATGATGACGGAGGAGGACTACGCTGAGGCGGGCTACGTCCACTGCATGGGCGCATACTGGGTCCCGCCGCGCCGCCTGGGCTGGTGTCGGAGGTGCGCGGCGCTGGACGACTGGAAGACCATGGCGGTGGAGTATGTGGACGAGCTCAGCTGCGCGGAGATGCGCCGCTATGCGGAGGCCAAGGATCACAACGAGAAATACCCCGATCTGAGGTGGGGCAAAGAGGGGCAGTACAAGCTGTACATGTGCTCGAGCTGTGTGGCGACGACGGGGGGCATCTCCGAGCACGATGCCGTGACGCGCGCTGCGCGCGCGAACAAGGGCCCAGGCTCCATCGACCATGCCGCCAAGCGGGTGGCGAAGTTCCGTGCGAGCTTCGGCTACATCAAGGAGGGCATGGGCGTCCTGGTGGGCTTCGCGCTCTCAGAGGAGGGCTTGCTTGCCTTGCGGAGGTCAACGGAGGGCGTGGGGGTGGGCATCGACCCCGAGAGTACGGGCGCCCCCCCAGCCACGGAAGAAGTGGCGAGGGAGGTGGGCCGCCCGATGGCGAGGGAGGCGGGGGTGGTGCCAGGGCCGCCCCGTGCGCCACCCCCGCCCTTCGAGGAAGAGCCTCCCAGTGATGAGGAGAACGACCCTCAGCCCGACGCGGACGCGGAGGGCCAGGGGCTCCAGCTGGCCGAGGTCCAGACCGTGAAGGAGGTCACGGACATCGAGCCCTTGAGGGGGGGGGCCCTTGCTGCGGCTCTGCCTATCCAAGAAGTCGCTCGCTTTGCATTCGCATGGTCGGCGGCCTAATTGGCGTCCCTCAGGTATCGAGCATAAAGAGTGCGCGCCCACGGCTGCTAGCGCCCTGGGGCCCCAATTTTTTCCCTTGGAAATACAAAAAGAGGACATTGTTATATTGGGCGCCGTGATGTGTCGCTAGGACGGAGTCCCAGGACGAACACGACGGCGTGATAGCGACGGCAAGCGGGGATTGGTGTGGGGAGTCGGAGCTCCCTGTTCTCGTGGAAGCCTTCGTAGATTTGGACCCTGCCAACCTTGGGACCAACTTGCCTGTACTACGAGGTGCGCTGTGGGGTGGGGGTGGTGTGGGGCAACCCCTCAGCGCGGAAGGCCTGTCTGCCGCCGCGCTGGGCGACTTACCCGGAACCAGTTCTACCGCAGCAAGGGCTTCACGTTCAACATGTACTACAAGTGCGCGGCCAACAAGACCTAGGATAATCCCAGGGGGTGCCGCTCGGTGATCCGCTCGGATTGCTGGTCACAGCTGCTCTCATGCGCCCAGGAGGCAGCGGGGGAGACGGGCCAGCGCTGGTACTGCCACTGCGGGGCGCGCTACTCGACCTCCGACGGGGTCTGCATTGAGTTCATAGAGGAGGAGGCGGACCCGCCACACGCGTACTACATGCACGCGGAGCACCCCGAGGAGGACATCCGCGACCTGAAGGCCCTGCTGCGCTACGACAAGCTCAAGAAGGAGGGGATCTCAGTGATCAACGCGGTGGACCTCCTGAGGCGCCTGCCCAAGGTTGGGCCGCTGGCGGTTGGCGCCGTCTTCAAGCGCTATGCTCCACACCAGGCGCAGTGGGAGGGCCACTATGTGCTGATGGAGGGGCTCACCTTGGAGAGCTTGCCCACGTTCGAGTGGACCGACCTCTGCGCTCAGGTGGCCCGGGGACTGAACGACCCAGAATGGGCGGTCACAGCAAGAAGGCGCGGAACAGAGCCAAGAGGGGGCGCCTGGAGATGGCGCACAGGGAATTGGCGCTCTACGAGCGCCGCCACAACCTGAAGACGGGCAGCCTCTCGGGCGGCGGGGGCGGCACAGGGGCCGCCCCGCGTGCCACCCCCGTGCGCAGCGCCAGCGCCCCACCAGCGAGCGGGGCCCGCGGCGGCCGGGGCCCGCCACCACCGCCAGCGGGGGTCCCGCCAGAGGCCGCGGCCATCATGGGCCCACCGCCGCCGCCGCCGACGGCGCCCCCTGATGTGCCGCCGCCGCCGACGCACCCGCCACCGCAGACGGACCCGCTCCCGCAGCAGATCCCAAGCGCTGCAGCCCTGAACGTGTCCCTTGGTGAAGACCTTGAGCGCCAGATCTTTGGGCCCTCAGGACAGGCGGGGGGCAGCGGCGACCTCGGCGGGGAGGCGCGGGCGCTGCCGTCGCAGGTCTTTGCTGCCATTGCGCAGGGAGCAGGCCAGCAGGCCCGAGCGATAATGCCCAGCAGGTTCCAGGGCCTTGGCAGGCCACATGAGTCCAAGCCAAGTTGTCTAACTGGCCACGTTCGGCAGTGCTGTGTGCCCACAGCGGCACCCCCCGCGCGTGGCTGCACTCGTGGCTTTTGCCTCGGCTTGGCGCATGACTACCTGTGCGCCCAGCCACCTTGGCTCGCCAGCTGGCTTGCCATCTCGGCCTCCTCACGTGCACTTGCGCTCATTGGCCCCGCTGGCGGTGCTGGGGCAGCCCCGTGTACTGCAGCGTCGCCGTCGGGCGCCTGGCCGTTTTGGCTTGCCATCTTGGCCTCCTCTCGCGCCTTCTTGCGCTTGTAGGCCATGATGGCGGTGCTGGGGTCGCCCCGTGTGCTGCTATGCCGCCGCCAGCGTCTGACTTTTTTTCTGTAGGGACCAGCTGCCCTCGGCCTGGCGCCTGCTGCTGCGTGCACGTCAGACCCGCCCTTGGCTTGCCATCCTGGCCGTGCCTCGCGTCTTCTCGCGCTAGTCGGCCTGGGTGGCGGTACTGGGGTCGCCCCGTGTGCTGCTGTGCCGTTGCTGGCGCTTCACTTTGGGCTGTTGGTCCAACTACCCACAGTACAAGCGCCTGACGATGCAATCATGTCAGACCCGCCCTTTCACCCAGAAGAGGTGCGTGCTACATACTGGCAACGAGGCAGCCACAAGGACGCTCTTCCCTAGGTGGTTGAGCCGTGGTGATGTGGTGCACGAGACCGCCGGTAGTAGTGGTAGTCGTAGTAGTAGTAGTAGTAGTAGTAGAAGTAGTAGTAGTAGTAGTAGTAGTAGTAGTAGTAGTAGTAGTAGTAGTAGTAGTAGTAGTAGTAGTAGTAGTAGTAGTAGTAGTAGTAGTAGTAGGCAAGCGGAACTGTGTATGATAGCTGCCGTCACGCCGTGCGCTGCACTCGGGGTCCGATCGTGGCAGCCTGTAGACACTTGTAGGAATCTTCAGGACCACAAGGAATGCGAAGGAATGCGAAGGAATCCCAAGGAACCCCAAGGAATGCGAAGGAATCCCAAGGAACGCCAAGGAATCCGAAGGAGTCCGAAGGAACCGGAGGGAATCCTAAGGAGTCCTCAGGAAGCCGAAGGAATTCGAAGGAACCCGCAGGAATCCCAAGGACTCGGGAGGAATCCCAAGGAACCCGCAGGAATCCCAAGGAATCCCAAGGAATCCGCAGGAATCCCAATGAATCCCAAGGAACCCGCAGGAATCCGAAGGAATAGAAGTACTTCTGAATACGTACTTCTGAAGATCCCATCCATGGTTGTAATTGGTGTCATTTCTGGGTGCGATTGGTCTCATTTCTGGTTGCAATTCGCTCCGAACGGTTGGAATTGGGACCAGTCGGTTGTAATTCGTTCCATTTCGGTTCGGACCCCCCCTTCTTTTGAAAGGGGGGAAGGGGGGGGCGGGCTTCCCCGACGACGGATCGAGGAAAGGGGGGGGGAGGGGGCTCCCCGACGACGGATCGGGGAAGGGGGGGGAGGGGAGGGGTTCCCCGACGACGGATCGAGGAAAGGGGGGGGGTCCTCCCCCCCCCTCGTTGGGGTTATCCAGCGGCGCACCCTCCATGGTTGGGTCCTTCGCCAGGATAGTTGTTGCATTTTTTTGACAGGGATGGTGGCCTTGTGCACAGCAGGCACACCTGATATCTCCCGCGCCGTCACTGTCAAAAACAATTCGACGTACTCGTGGAGCCCACAAGCATGTCCCAAGATTTTGGCCCAAAGTGTACTTTGGAAAACGAGATTCCCCTAGCCACTCACGCCCTGAAGGGCTGGTGGGATTCATCAGAATGTGTTCTGGAGCGGTTCCCAGGGCCCCAAAACATGCCCACAAGGCCCCCAGGAGCGCTCCTGGACGGGCCCCATGAGGCCATGTGAGGGCATGGTTCAGGTCCATATTCCCAACCCGACATGGGGCGCGATCCTTGTGATGGGTGCATCGAAGTGGGCGCGAGCCCCCACGCAGGTGCTTTCACTGGCGCCGTGTTCGGCGATCCCGATGGGGCACGATCGGTTTGGGTGGTGTGCCAGCAGTGGGCAAAGGCTCGTGTGCGGGCGCCCTCACTGGCGCCGGAGTGGGGTCCTCCCGTGGGGCACGGACCGTGTGAGGGGTGCCGCCGGGTTCTGTGCCCCCCCCCCAGGGAGGAGGGGAAGGAGGGGGAGGAGGAGGAGGAGGAGGAGGAGGAGGAAGGGGAGGAGGAGGAGGAGGGAGAGGAGGGGAAGGAGGGAGAGGAGGGGGAAGAGGAGGAGGGAGGGGGAAGAGGAGGAGGAGGAGGAGGAGGAGGAGGAGGAGGAGGAGGAGGAGGAGGAGGAGGATTACGACGAAGACGAGGAGGAGGATGAGGTGTAGGCAGGAGGCCCGGAGCTCGCGGCGCGGCGTGGCGCGGCACCGCGCGGCCGAGCCGCCGTGTCCGCAGGATTTCTTCCAGTGCTTCTCCCACCGCTTTGCGCTCTCGTCGTGCACCGACGCCACGGTGTCCAAGCTGCTCAAGTGCCAGGCAGCGGCAGTGGTGGTGGCAGCGGTCGTGGCAGAGGAGGAGCAGAGGAAAAACAGACGAGGAGGATGCGCCACTGCCAGTCGCAGTTCAGCGATGTCGCCTCTTCGAGGTGCTTCGCCAACTCTTGACATGCCGAGGCAGATGTGGATGTGCGACGGTATTGCGCCAGGGCGTGCCCAATCCGCTCTCTCTCGTTGTTCTACCGCGTAGTTAGTTGGCATTGCAGCACCACGAATCGGGCGTTTTGGCCTGGACATGTACAGTGGGGGCCATGCCAAGAAACACCCTGCTGGTCTCCAGGGTGCCCTTGGTTTCTTTTGGGTTTCGACGCTTTTGCCGTGAAAGGCGTTACGTTCCCACACTACAAATCCATGGACGTCCTGGGGTCTCAGGTGGGGGTTTCTTGTGGAAGGTTCCTTGTGGACTGGCCTCCACTGTAAGGGGGCCCAGTGCTTTTGGCTCCCCCAGGCCGTCCATGAGGACCGGGAGGCCTCTGAGTCCTCTGGGATGCCCCAGGCCGTCTTGGAGGCCACGCTGGCAGTCTTGGCGCTCGCTGGGGCCGCCGTGGAGGCATCCCGGAGGCCACCTCTGGCCATCCTGGCCGTCTTGAAGGCATCTTGGGGCCCGTCTTATGCCGTGGGGAGGGGGCAGCAGTGCTACCTCGTCGTCGACCCTGGCGCGCGAGCGCCGGGGGGTTTGGCGCGAGGGAGGCTGCCTTTCAAAATTAGCCTGGCGAAGGACCCAACCATATGCAGTTGCGAGTGCCGCAATTGTGAATATCTTCTTCGGTGGCGCTCCCTATGGGGCCACGAACCGTATCAGGAGTGTTCCGAACTGGCGGGGTACACAACGCAAAGGAATACGATAGGTCGAATTACGAGAGACTGAACGCGGGTGAGTCAGAGCGCGAGTGAGTCTGAGTGTGAATGAGTCTGCGTGCGAGGGAGTGTTTTTTGCGTGGATGCGATCATGGCTACGCCTATTGTAAATGTATATGAATGTGAATGGTTCGGGCACGCCTGTCCGAACACTCGTGACACTGAGCGTGGCCGCCGCAGGCAGCTTCCGCGGGAACCCCGACGGCAGCGCCCGCGCGCCGCGATGCCCATGTCGGCACGCCCCATCACGAGGATCGCGCCCGCTTTCGTCCCTTTTTTCCCTCTTTTCCTGCGCGCTTCAAAAATCCAAGGCTGCGGGCGCAACGCAGCGCGGAGTCCCCGCGACGCGCGCAGGTCGCCCTGGATGGGGTCCCAGCGACGCGCGCGGGTCGTCCGCTGCTAGCTGGCTGGCTGACATGGGGCAAGGCTCTGGTCGCTAGGCAGAGCGACGACGGGTGAGCGAGGCGTTGGGCAGGACGCAGCACGGAGTTCCCACGACGCGCGCTGGTCGCCCCGAGCGGGCCCCAGCGACGCGCGCGGGTCGTCCGCGGCGCGAGGCCAGACAAGTAGTTGGACAGTCGAGAGAAGGCGCGACCTCGTGCGGGGCGCTCCTCAGGTCAGGCCTCGCGTATAAACTCGGTGAAGCCGAGCTCTTGGGCGAGGGCCGTCGCCTCCCTTCTGCGCCGCTTCGTGCGCGCCGCGAACTGCTCCAGCTGCTTTCGCAAGCCCTCCGGCGGCCCTGCCGGGAAGAACTCGATGCGCGGCGCCCGCATGAGCAGGAGGTCCTCGTGGCGCGTGGCGCGCGAGAGCAGCGCATAGAGCTCCAGCCACCAGTCGTCGTCCTCCTTGCCGTTCCCGACCTCGTGGCGGCCGCAATCCAGGATCACGCCTGGGCGACGTCGACCGGGGGGCAGCGCGCCGGGCAGCCGGCGGCCCAGGGCGAGAATTCCACAGGGTCGAGGTCTGGTTGCAGACTGCTCGCGCCCAGCAGGTCTGGCCGTAAACTGCCCCAGAGCGCTGTTCCCTCGCCCCGTCGCCCTCGCGCATGGTGCGCGCCTGGCGCGCCGCCGTGGCGATGGCCCTGCCGTGCGAGAGCGGGGGGCCCGTTCGGGTGACCTTGGAGGCGCGGGAGGTGAACGGCTCCGACGTACGAGGCTCGATGAACACCAGCGGGCCCGTGAGGTCCCCCGTGAGGCTGTCGTCGTGGCGCTTGAAGTCGCCCACGAAGGGCGCGCGCGCGTGCTTCTCCATGTGCGCCCAGAACCCCAGCGGCAAGTGCTTCAGATAGATCCTCTTCTCCCCGTCTCTCTCTCTTTCTCTCTCTTCCTTGTCTACGTCGTCCCGATCTCGAGGGTCCACGGCGATGTGCGCGATCTGCCCTTCGGCATCCTTGACGAGGCCGTTCTTGAGGTCCAGCGCCTCCAGGGGCCGGATCCGCATGCCTGCGTGCGCCGGGGGCAGTCCGTGCATGCCACCGGTGTTCGTCGGGTTGGCACAGTTCATCATCTTGGCGGCGACCTTTCTGCTCATCGTCGGGGCAGACCTGTCGGCGGCCTGCGCGAGGAAGAGGGACTTCATCACGCCCGCGTCCCGCTGGGCACGCATGTTCATCCAGCGCGCCACGGTGTCCCAGTAGGACCCAATCATGTGGCCGTTCTGGAGCCTTTCCTCCCGGAGTCTACGATCATCGGGTTTCAGCTGCATGGCGTGCCGCGTGGCCCGGGTGGCCGGTGGGGCCTGCTTCCCCAGCTTGCGCAAGAACGCCATGAGGCCCTTGAGTTTCGGGTTTTTGAAGCGGTTGGACGCCTGGAGCTCGAAGCACAGCGGCGTGTTGCAGAAGAGCTTCATCGCGGCCTGGTACTCTGGAGCGAGGTTGATGCCCGCCGCCGCGAGTTCCTCGAAGCTGGAGATGAGGGGCACTTTGCCTCCCGTCGGCTTGAGCTGCAGGAAATCTCCCAGGTGGATCGCGATGGGCATCCGGCCGAAGGCGCCGCCGACCTGGTCGCACTCCCGCTCCTCCGCGCCCCACTCGGCCTCGCGTCCCAGGTAGGGCCGGAATGCCAGCATGTTGTGCAGGCTGGGCGAGATCATGCTCACCTTTTTCAGGGTCAAGCACCTGGCCGCCTCCCGCGTGTCCTGCAGCGCTTTCAGCTTGCCCCCCGCGGGTGTGTCCTCGTTCCTGAAGGACTGCGCTCCTGTGACTCCCGCCCGGTGGCAACTGACGGCCTTGAGCGTTCGTGGAGATGTTCGCGGCCTGGGGCCACTTCGCGCAGCGCAGACTATCAGCGTGGACGAGTTCGCCTTGCCCGGTTCCACAGGGAACAGCGCGTCCATGGCCGGCGGCACGATCTCCCGCACGATGGCGGTCTTCCCGCTGCCGCCCTGGCCCAGGAGCAGGAACTGGAACGTCTTCCGCTTCGCGTGCTTGGCCATGCGCGGTGCCGCGCCCTTCCCCTCCGACCCACGGTGGTAATAAACCGTGTCCCGCAACGCGCTGAATCTCAACGAGTGCTTGCGATCATTGCGGCATTTCCACCGCCAGCGGGAAGATTGGGGCCCGTCAGAGTCCACAATCAGATCAGCATTGCACACCGGGCAGGGCGGTTGCTTCGCTCGCTGGCGCAGGTCCAACATGGCCTGCGTTGCCTGCTCCTTCGACGCATCGAGGCACGCAGTAGGAGACGACATTGTCGAAGCATCCCGTACATCATTGCTTATTCCTGGCAGGGGCCACCAAAGCCACTGGCGAGGGCGCGCGATCAGCACGCAGAATGCCAAAACACAGTCGATGCAACGCCAACAGAAAAACACCAATGCTGAGCAGGTAACAGTTGCGGTGCAGCAGCGGCACCGCTTCGAATTCTCGGAGGCGTTCTGGGCAGCAGCACGGGCGGCGACGTGCGCCGGCGCGGCGACGAAGACAGACAGCGTGCAGCCAGCGTCCACACATGCAACGAATACCAGCCCAGGGATAAGCAATGTCACAACTCGGCGCAGTGTGCGTAGGACGCCTCCAGTGCGTAGGGCGCCTCCATCGTGTTGGGCGCCTCCAGTGCGTGCTGATTCGGCAGGCGAAGCAGCGCGCGACATGCTGCAAGTCGACGTGCTCGAGAAAAACTTGCTCGAATCAGCAGATGCCTGCGGACGTCTCTCCGGGCAAGAAAATTGCCCGGGGACGTTTCGAACCCCCTGTGCACTTGAGGCGACTATGCCCCGGGCCGCCAGCGATGCACCGGCGCCGTCGGCGCGGAGAAGAAGCTCCACGTCGAGCCGCGTCGCCGACGCGTCGGCGATGCGGCGCGACCCCCCCGGCCCCATCTGCTCGGACCCCACGTGGGAGGCCCAGACTAGGGAGGGCCAGCCCCCTCCTGCCTTCCCTCGGCGGCGGGCATAGAGGGGAAACGAGGTCGTCGTGGTCGTCGTGGTCGTCGTGGTCGTCGTGGTCGTCGTGGTCGTCGTCGTCGTCGTGGTCGTCGTCGTCGTCGTCGTCGTCGTCGTCGTCGTGCTCGTCCTCGTCCTCGTCCTCGTCCTCGTCGTCGTCGTCGTCGTCGTCGTCGTCGTCGTCGTCCTCGTCGTCGTCGTCGTCGTCGTCGTCGTCGCTGCTGCCCGGGCCAGCGCCAGAGCAGCCGTGGCCCCCCAAACCAGTTCAAGCGCGGGAGAACGGATCCTACGAGCCGGCGCCGGAACCGTGGAACGACGACCTGGGCCCGGCCCAGGTAGGAGCCAGCGCCGGGGCAGACGTGGCCCCCCAGATTAGCTAGCTCAAGGGGGAAGAACAGATTATACGAGCCTGCGCTGGGGCAGCCGCGACCCCCCCCAGATCAGTTCAAGCGGCGACGACGACGCCGACGACGACTCTCTCTCACGCCCTCCTCCCATCTCCTTCCTCCTCCCTCGAGGAGGAAAGGGGGGGGGGAAGGCGAGCGACGACGACGGCGGCGACGGCGGCGGCGGCGGTGACGACGACGCCGACGGCGGCGACGACGATGGCGGCGGCGGCGATGACGACGACGACGACGACGACGACGACGACGACGACGACGACGACGGCGGCGGCGGCGGCGGCGGCGGCGGCGGCGGCGGCGAGGGATCCCCGCCGAGCGAACATCAATGTTCATGGCTTCGTGAGTCCGTTCGCACGGGTGGAAGGGCCATGAGGACACCCGTCGGTCAAGAATCCTAGACACCCGTCGGGGCCAGGCCACCGCCGCGATGGCTCGGAGTCTTTGCAATGGATGGCCTTGGAGCGAAGTGGACTCAACAAGCATGGACAATGACGCTGCGCGTGGGAAAAGACGAGGAGGAGGAGGAGGCTGTCTCTCCCGTGGGCGTGCCGAAGTGGGCGGGGGGGGGCGCGTGTGGACGGTGGCACTGGGGCCTTCGGTGGAGCTCCCTATGGTGCCACCAAGCGTGTGAGGGGTGTGCCGACATGGGTGTGCGTGACGCATGCGGGCGGTGGCACTGTGGCCTTCGGTGGAGCTCCCTGTGGGGCCACGAAACGTGTGGGGTGTGTGCCGAAGTGGATGTGGGGGGCGCATGTGGACGGTGGCACCGGGGCCTTCGGTGGAGTTCCCTATGGGGCCGCGAAACTTGTGAGGGGTGCGCCGAGCGGGCGGGGGGGGCGCATGTGGACGGTGTTTGTGAGACACAAAAAATGTGTGAGGGGTGGTGCACGAAAGTGGGTGGGGGGGGCGCATGTGTGAACGGTGGCACTGGGGCCCTTCGGTGAGCTCGCCTTCGGTGAGCTTCCCTATGGGGCCCACGAAAGCGTGTGCAGGGGTGTGCGAGTGGTGTGGCGTGACGCGTGCGGGCGGTGGCACTGTTGCCTTCGGTGGGAGCTCCGATGTGGCCCACGACAAGCATTTGAGGGTGTGCCGAAATGGGGTGGGTGGGTGGGGGTGGGTGGGGGGGGGGGGGCGCATGTGGAGCGGTGGCACTGGGGCCTTCGGTGGAAGCTCCCTATTGGGCCACGAAGCGTGTGCGGGGTGCGTGCCCGAGTGGGAAATGGTTGACGCTTCGATGATTTTTGATTATGATTGTCATGATGATGATGACGATGATGATGATGACGATGATGATGTTGGGAAGGGGGGATAAGGGGGGAGGCGAGGAGAAGAGGAGGAGAACGCGGGGCGACGTCTTTCCAAAACGAGGACCCAACACCGCAGGATGGTTGGGAGCAACATCGGGGGGCTCCTTGCAAGGCAAGAGCCAGGAGGGGAAAACGCACAGACACCATGAATCGTCGTTCCCCAGGAGAATATGGGAACACATGGGAAGCGGGGGAGAAAGTGAACGCCCAGTAAATATGGGAACCCATGGGGAATCCGGGGATTGTCTGTCTATTTGTTTGTGTGTCCTTGGGCCTCTTTTAAAACACCTTCTTGAAAAAAAGGGCCCCGAGACCTTTAAACCTTAAGCCCGACCCCCCTGTCTTTTTAGGAACACCGCGCCTCCCAGAAGGTTGTCCACCCGCGACCCGCAGTTGTGCTTGCCGCCAACGTGATGCCTTGCAATCGGCCGCCACGCCGATGTGTCCAATTTCGGCAACGAGAGAGGATTATGTACGAGAGAGGCGATGCAGAGAGGGTTGCTTCCCCAGCGCGCCCGCGCCTGCAAGGATCAGTTTTCGGGCACCCTGCTGAACACGAACTGATCGAGCAGGCATCTTTCGTCCTCATCTCTCCAGCCCTCGTTCTCTTCGCATTCCTCGATTCCACGCCTCCTAAATCGGGCTCGCATCGGCTTTGCATCGGCGATGTGCAGCCCTATTTTGTCCACTCCGACGTCGCCGATGCATCCATCGGCAGTTTTCGCGTTTCGTCTATCTCGTGCTGCCTTTCGGGGCGGTGCCTGTTATGGCCTGCAGACTCTCCCTGCTCCTCGTTCGGCCCCGTTCGCGTGGGGCGGCCGAAGCTGTTCCCCGTGGGCCATCCTTGCAGGAGGCACTCTTTCGGTGGATCCATGCCATGTGTGAGTCGTTACTGTGCGAGTGGTGGAACGCGCCTGTCGAGGAACGGGAGCCACTTCTTTCCTCGCTCGCCGCCAATCTCCTGAATGACGCTGGCGAGATGGGCAGAGGGAGAAGGATTGATGAGAGGCATGCTCTGAGGAATGTGGATTTCCCACATGTGCGAAACCCTGGGCCCTTGGCGTGCCTCGCCCGCCCCAACCACAGGGGCCCCCCAGAGCATACCAGCCTCAGGGCTCGAGCCAAAAGGTGTTCTGGCGATTTCGTGGAGTGTCTCCATTTCGCAGCAAAGGCAAACAAAAACAACACGAAGGAAAACGAACACAGTAGGATGACGAACAACACTGTTTAGCTCGAGCCCCAACTCCCTCCTCAGCGACGAAAGTCCTCTCGGAAGGGTGCAAGAGCCTGCAAGAGCCCCGAAGGTGACCCCAGAGTGCTCACCTGCATGTCCCAAATTGTTTTCGTATTCATTGTTTTGCCTATCGGCGCGGGCCCTCGCACCCCCTCCCCTCATGTTTTTGGCGCCTGTTTCAAGCAGGGAGTCTTCCCCGTAGGACGCACTGTTGCAAACAGTCGCATCAAGCAGAGCTCCGGAGCCAGACCCTCCCCTCCCCTCCCCCTTACGCCCACTGTCGAAACGCCGAGAAAAGAAAACGTTCGCAAGCGGGCTCTCGCACGGCTGCAAGGCAGCCCAAGAATGCCCCCCGGGACTTCAAGCGAACGCCAGTAGGCCGCATGGAGGTTCCCGAGAGGACACCCAGACCGCTCAGAGCAGGCAGAGGCTGTATTTCTTGCATCCCGCACTTCCAGTTCAAGATGCTTCGAAGACGGGGATCGGCCAAAGATCGGCGGCAAGCGAGGGGGGGAAGTGAGAAGGAGAAGGCCTCCTCAGAAGGTTCGGAAGTCCCCCGGCCTTCTGAGAAGGTTTCGAAGCGTTCCCCGAAGACAGAACAAACTTCTCAGAAGGTGCGAGGGCTTCTGAGAACTCCCGCCGCCTTCTGAGAAGGCCTTCTCCTTCTCGCTTCCCCCCCTCGCTCGCCAAGACGGGGGTCGGTCAAAGGGCGCTCAGCAGGGCCTCGTGTTTGGGCAGCCCCCTGATGAAAACCCCGATTTCTGGTCTCGCTGGTGCCCCAACTTTGAAGGCATCCTGGGGCCGTCGGCAGACAGCCTTGATGGATACTCGAGCGAGGCAGCCGACATGGCCTACCTGCTGGAGCAGGCCTTCGGGAGGGCCCGTGGATGAGGAGGAGGAGGAGGAGGAGGAGGAGGAGGAGGAGGAGGAGGAGGGTTAGGGGGAAGGGAGGAGGAGGAGGAGGAGGAGGAGGAGGAGGAGGAGGAGGAGGAGGAGGAGGAGGAGGAGGATGAGGAGGAGGAGGAGGAGGAGGAGGAGGATTTGTTCACCGCAACGCTTACAAGGCAGCAGTCAGCTGACCTGGAAAGACTCGGCCACAACGCCTCCTGTTGAGGGTTACTCCGAACATCAAAAAGTATACGTCCGAGAGTGCAGCACCCCCCCACCCTCCGCCGAGCGCTAACGGCGACGGACAAGGGCGAGCGGTCCACTCGGATCCACTGAGGCGTCGCCGTGGCGGCACTCGACACTGGTGCTCGTCGCCGTTCTGTGCAATGCCTCACGCTCCGCACAGCATGGCAGCGCAAAGGCCAAGAAAGAAGCAACGAACATGTCACGAAATTCGGCCCCTAAACACGGCTGAATATGGGCTGGCATCACAGGCACACCACTGGCCCAAGGGGACCAATGGCTACACCTGGACGGGGGCCAAACTTGCCACTACAAGCGAATTAGTCGGAGTCTTCACCATTACCACCGCTGTGATTCGCGACGGCGCCAGCAGCAGCCTGGAGCCGCAATGAAACAGAGGCTCGACGGAGCGTTACGCCCTCATCAGGGGTGGACGGCGCCACTGGGGCAGGCTGGCCTGGTTGGACCCCAGTCGTGTGCTCGCACCCTGGCTGAGGGGGAAACCCGCTGGAAGACGAGGCTGCTCTTCCGGCAGTGGGCTCCGGGACGCAGCCGAAACAGGGAGGCGTCCAAGGTGAAGGGAGAAACTTGACATTCTTGGCACGCTTCCTCTCCTGAGGGTGCTTCCCTGCACAAAAATATTTCCAGGCGGCCCTGCCCGCCCCTGGATCTTCGCGGCCGTTGCAAAGCTCTCCAGGCTTCTTAACACGGCCACCCGTGCTATAGAAGTGGCATCGCAAACAGATACAGAGAAATGAACCATCAGAGCAATCCACTAGAGCGCATTTGTGACCCATCTCCGACAGCAGGGACGGGGTGAGCTTGGGCAGACCTGCGCACCTCCCAGGGGCAGGTTTGGCCGACTGGATAGAACGAGCGCTAGGTATGACTTCCGCCCTGGTACCCCTAAGACACACATTGCATTGCCAGTATTCTCCTTGCCAGGCCCAACCGAATCGTGTTCCATGACACTGGAGGCCTTGGGCCGAGGATCTGGCCTCGAGTACTGGGCGGCAGACAAATCGCACTTTGGCCACAGTGGGAGAAGCTTTGTGGCCAAGCGAATTACCGCCTTGCTGGTCTTGATATACAAATTGATAGTTTCCTGGACATCGGGGCCAGGGGCAGGGTGCAGCGCGGCTCCCAACTTGGCCGCTGTATCGGCGTGCTGGTTCCCGCGTCTTTTGAAATATTCAGCATCCGAGATTCCAGCCTCGTCGAGCTCCTTGTGAGCCGCGACTCTTATGACAGTGTCGAATTTGCCCGAGGCGCCGCAGAAGCCTTCCAAGACTGAGCCAACAAAAGCCCGTTTGCCAGAGAGGCGGTCCTCGGCGTCCCGGGCACAAGCCGAAACAACACTGGCGCAATCCGAATACAGAGAGGCCTTGTCGTCTAGGTTAACACCCGCAGCAGCGAAAGAAGAGAATTCCCCCGCTTGCGAAGTCTGCGGGAAGTGGGACCAGACGGGACCGTAACACCATCCCATCAAAGCCCCCTGGTCCGAAGTCCTAACGAAACCCCAGCCAGCTCGGGACAATTCTTTTATTGCCGATTTGAAACAACTGCCATCGAGGAAAACGTGCCGAGAGAAACTCAAAGACTCAGGACCCGTGAAAGCAATTCCCGCCTCCTCGAAGCCCTCCTGGAAATACTGGAGAACAACGTGTTCCATGCCCTGCTGTCGAATCGGAGGAGGAACCACGTCTCCAGGATGAGGAAACGCACCCGTGAGAAACATGATCAGGTCCAACCAGCCTGCGTCTCTTGCTGAAAATGCTCTGCGAATCGTTGCCGCGTCCACTAGCTCTGCCCTGGCATCGGCACAAGCCTCGCACTCCCAGAGTCTGTGCAATAAATAATCAATACCTTTCCCACATAAGGGACAAGCAGGTTCCACCTGGTATCCCTTAGCTCTGGCGTGCGCCTGAGTCCATATGGCGTTGCACGCTAGCGATCGCATGCAGCCCTTTTCAAAAGCCGAGGAGGAGGAGG